TTTACCCACTTGGCCGAAGAAGATTCGAGTTTCCATTGCGGACGCGAGTAAAGCACTTGAGAAATGTTGTCTGGCTTTGAGATACAGTCTTTTTTGGATGTACTGCAAAACAAGATGGGCGGGGAGTCAAAGGAATCCAGCCCAGAAGAGCCCCGAACGCTTGCGAAGGTAGGTGCTCCATCTTACCTACCTATGTCTGACAGTCTGAGTGTGTATATACGCATGAAATGCATAAATGTGTGTGTGATGCCATTTTCCCATCTGAATTGTTCGATTGTCATAATCAATTAACGTATCGATTATGACCGTTATTGATGATGATGATCATCAGCAGCAGCAGCCGTCGCATGGTCATCGACGTCGGCGTCGTCGTCGTACATGCATGATATGGTATAGTAATCGCTCATATTTTATTGATGTAAAAATCCACCGATGTAATTTTTAATTTTAGCCATAACCTGCATGTAATGTGGTGAGATTGAGACGTAAACAAAAATTGTTACCGTATGAATATTAGTATAGACTGGCATATACTTTTGTGTAGAGCTAAAACTGATCGACTATTGTTGCTCTGTGCTGGCCGTGAATAATTTAAATTGTGTAATTTAAGATGATTATATGTACCAATATTAGGTAATTAACATAATTTTCCCCACATAGGAACGTAGCGAAGTGGCGTGTGCAAGTCCTGGTCGCCCCAGCCCAAACCGACGCCAACCACAGCACTGCTGTGCTGCAGAAAGGGACATCGCCATCCTGCACTCAAGACTGAAGACATCAAGCAGGGAAACAAAAGTGCTACAGCGAAAGCTGAATGCTGTGGAGGTGGAGTGCCAGGAGAAGCTGGAAACGGTGAGAGTCGAGAGAGACGCGGAAACAGTGCAGCTGAGTGAGCAACTGTGTGTGATGCAAGCAAAGCTGGGTAGGCTGCAGCTCGCTAAAGAGGAGGCTGTTGAGAAGGTCGCGGTTTCACAACAGCAACAACTTGGCGGTAGTAACGAGGACATAAGAGCTGAACTAATTGCAACCATCGCGAAGCTTAAGGAAATAGAAAGCGAGAAGGAGACCTCCGTTTGTCGCATTGCTGAGCTCACTACTAAACTGCGAATAGTGGAAGAAAGGAAGCACCGCGAGGTAGCAGAACTAGAGAAGAAAGTTTGCAACTTAGAGGAGCAGAAGAATCAGCTTCAAGAGCAGCTGCTTGACATGGAACGATGCCTCCTCAACAATCTAAAGGAAGATGACTTGGAGAAGGAGAGGTGTATTCGAGAACTCACACAGAGAGTCACATTCTTGGAATCACTGCTTAAAGAAATGGGGGCAACTGTGGACCTGACGGGTGATGTCTGTGTCGTGGGCAGTGCCAGCCAAGTCAGCGTAGAGCACAAGCAAGACGCCATATGCTCGGAGTCACCTCTCGGAAGGAGAGATAGCACGGGCTGGGAGGGAACAGACAGTGGGTACAGCCAGTCACCGTTTCACGCAAGCTTCGGACAAATGCCATCCCTCACAAGCTCCCGGCAGGAGAGGGAGTGGACGGGGTCGCACGACACGCTCGACTCAACACTACCCTACCTCGCGTTCGACCAGCACGCCGACATCGCCGACATGGTGGGCGTGGTCGCGATGCTCAAGCAGCAGATCGACGACTACAAGAACGAGAAGGAGAAGCTGGAGGGCAACCACTGCGAGCAGGTAGCCATCCTGCAGTCGGCTCTCAGCGACCTGCAGGCGAGCAGTGAGGCGAACGCGAGCATCCTCCGCACGCAGCTCGATCAGATTCAGGCGAGCAAGGAGGCAGAGAGGCAGCGCCTTCAGGAGGAGATCGAGACACTGTTGGCGGAGAAGAACTGGGAGGTTGAGTCGCTCGAGAGACAGATCGATGAGCTGAAGCGCTCCCGCAAACTGTCGGACCTGCAGACGGAGCTTCGCGACCGTGAGTGCGAGATCGAGACGCTGCAGTCGAGCATTGAGGCGTTGGAGCAGACACAGCAGGTGAGTTGTAGTGGTAGTGGTGGTGACAGTAGTAGTAGTGGTAGTTTTAGTGGTAGCAGCAGCAGCAGCAGCAGCAGCAGCAGCAGTCAGGAACATAGCTAACCCATTTTGTCTGGGGGGGTGCAAGGCCATGTGTGTGGTGTTTCTGGGAAGGTGACCATCATTGATCATGTATTGTATTTACTTTATTTCTGGGGGGCAACTGCTCCTTGTCTCCTTCCCTCCCCCCTGCTAGCAGAGAGGAGCCCTGCACAGTAGTAGTGGCAGTGGTAATATTTTTACTGGTACTGGTAGTGGTAGTGGTAGTGGTAGTGGTAGTGGTAGTGGTAGTGGTAGTGGTAGCAGCTAGTAGCAGCAGGAGCAGCACTAGTAGTAAACGTTTATCACCACGTATAAAAACACTACATTATAAGACGACATTGACTGTGAAGCTAATCCATGAACTTTGGCAATTGAATTAAAATAGAAACGGAATAGAAATACAAGCTAATGTTGTTAACTACAATAAAACTATTCTGTAAAACGATCGGCGCAGTTATTTACATGTATAGGATTACATTAGCATTTGTCTTCTTTCAGAAAGTTTTTGCAGTTGTAAAACTGATTTTGTTATGTCTTTGTATCTAGGCTGAGGTTGTCATGCTGGAGAGCAGGATCGACGATTTGTTCAGTGACATTGAGCAGGATGCGCTGACCTTCACGACAAGACTGAAGGACGTCGAGGAGAGGAAGGACCGCACGATTGCAGAGCTGAAGGAAAAGCTGAAGCAGGTGGAGGCCGACAAGGATGACAGTCTGTTGCGCATCAAGGGCGAGATGAGGGAGATCACTTTGTACAAGGACTGCGAGATTTCAGACCTGCGACAGAAATTAGAAGAGCACGAGAGGACGAACGACGAGGAAGCTACCAGGTTGGAGGAGGAGCTCTCTGCCACGGAGCATAAGTTCAGCACACAGAATGTGCCCGAGTTAGAAGCGACGATTAACTGGTTGGAAATCATCAAGGAGACAAAGGAAGTTGAAATCGATGGATTGTGTCAGAAGCTGGCCACGAGGGATGCTAAAGTGGAGGAGTTAGAGACTAACGGCAAGGAGCTTAAGGCAAAAACTAAGCAGGATATGGTGGACTTAGAAACAAAGTTGCAGTGCAAAAGTGAGCTGATCGCCCTATCCAAGGTAATAGTCGAAGAACTCAAGAGCCAGTTGTATGAGATGCAGGTGAAACTGCAAGCTTTGGAGATGAAAGAGCAGAAGATGCTGATCAGTGATAAAGTTAATACGGTATGTGTAACCTCAGGCTCATTTTACGTGATTCAGAATCTATCTTTTGCAAAGGGTAACCATTGCTTGCCACAGTTTAGCAGGAAGACATGAATAAAATCAAGTCACTGCATGGTTACTAACATTTATATATAATGAACGTTTACCACAGTGATCGCCAATGCAGCAGACATTATACGTGTTAATATATACTTTAGCAGTGATTTGCATATTGCAGTGATGCTAGCTCAATGGCATAGAGCTCCAATAACCCAGTACTGACAACGAAATATTTACATTTATGTTTGTTTAGACATTTACCAGAAATCCTTGATAACCAGTGTAAAAAAAAAAGTGTGAAGAACAACGAAATTATGGAATTGAGGAGTTTGTGTTTCAGGTTGTTGATGGTAAGAAGGAAGAGCTTGCGCTACTGGAAGCAAAAGTGCGCAGTCTGGAAGTGATACTGGGGTCCGCAAGAAGTGAACACCTACAGGAGGTGCAGAACCTCGAAAAGAGGCTGATGGCATTAGGCAACCAACTTGCCAGGGATCAACAGAGACAGCAAGACTTCCAGGTAAAGTGAACAAAATCATCATCATATTCAATGCACGCACTCATGCATTCATAAGAGTATCTGGGTGGTCGTTTGCCCATTTGTTCATTTTATTAGTTTATTGTTCCATTCCTTTATTCTTTCATTAAGCCAACATTCTCTCTTTTTGATTGATTATTTATTACTTACTGCCTTCCTTTTTTATAATATACAAAAAATCTCATAATTACCAAAAATATTTCCCTTTATTATCTATAATTGATCTATAATTCCCAAACCTTGAAAATTTGACTATTTCAAAAGCTGTTCGATTGATCTGCCAAAACTCATCATAAAATTCTCCTTTTAATTGTTATCTATATCATTATCGTTTTTGTTGCAATTAATATAGTAACTTCTTCAATATCAATATATTACTGATTTTGGTTGCAATGGTATAACTGGTTTCCGCATATCAGATAAATATGTTTGACGCATACACATATAAATGGCCGATATGTCACCATAGACACTCAGGTAATTATTTGTGCCATCTAATCTCATGTGGCATGGCCAAACTATTGCGTCTGTAACACAATGCATAATTGCTATTGGTACTCTAAGTGGATAAGTTTTGATTGGTCAAAATCATGCAGCCAGTACTATATTGTTTTTTAATTTGTCTACTGAAAAACTAAACGTACTGCAACTATAAGCTAAAGTAAAATAACTAAGCTAAAATAAGCTAGTTAAAATAAGCTAAATAAGCTAAGGTATTCTTAGCGTCAAAATTGAAATGTACACAAAGAATTGGGCCTACATGGATTTCAATGGTAAATTATACAGGGTTACAGAGTTTCATTTTGCTATCACTGATATTTTATTTCTCTAAGAGATGAAATCATTTAAATATATGCCTGAATATTTCCAAAACCTATCAATATTGTAACACTGCACATTAACGAAATTGATTTCAGTCAAAATTTTGTGACATAAACTATGCATCAACTAGCAGCTGGCACTTTAAACCATGTGTTTTTTACACATTCATCTATATCTAGTCTATTCTGTATAGTCACTCCGGATAATCTATCAGGGAATGGTCGCCGACGTGCAAAGAGGTGCAGAGCAAGATGAAGCGATGGAGTGTTGCTCATGGGGGACGTTTGCGACAGCTGCGGTAGTAGCGGATGCTGATTATGACGACACTGTTGTCTGCTCCATACAGAAACGTGATAAGGACATACTGTTGCGGGAACTTGAGTCCAAGACTGCCGAGCAGGAGCAGAAAATCGTATGTGGCATTCAGGGAAATGTATTTTTGTACCTAAATGTTTGTTTTTGTAATATTTATGAGAGTTATCGATTAAAAATATTGGATCTGGTGAGGTTTCGTGAGTTCAATGTACACAACATTCGTTTACATGCTATGGCAGGGGGAACGGGTTTTTTTAGGACTCAGATTGGACAATTCTAGTTATCTGGTAACTGGATGAATTTTTCGTGATTCAGGAATAGAATTCAACTTCAACTGGAATGCAGGAAAGCCGAAATCGTGTTTTAATTAATTGGGAACTAGGAAATAGAACATTTTTAACTGTGAATAGAATTCCCCCTGTTCCCTCTTCTGCTATTCGTCCATCATAAATATCAGAATGGTTATATGGCAAAGCCAGCTAGAGGACAGGACATAGCAGAATGTCACCTGAATATTCTGAGGTAATATACAACAACTGGGCCAACTATGCCAACGAAACCATTCAATATGATGGACTTATCTTAACATAGATAAAGGGCCGGACACACCAGGCGATTGCATCGGCCGATGGCATCAGGCGATGGCATCGCCCGATGGCAGCGCGCAGTCGTGGACACACCAGGCGATTGCATCGGGCGATGGCATCGCCCGATTCTTGCGCGCGCAGTGCGCTTGGCTGATGAACTCTGATTGGCTGATGAATTGTAAAATCGGGCGATGTTATCGCCGGTCGCGGACACACCAGGCGATTGCATCGGGCGATGGCATCGGGCGATAATAACAAAACGTTTTGATCTGTGCGATGGCATCGGCCGATGGCATCGGGCGATGAAATTGGCGGCGATTGAGTGGACACACCAGGCGATTTTCACGCCGATGCCATCGCCTGGTGTGTCCGGCCCTTAATGGTTACATATGTAGTTAAGGTTTAGTTTCATGTGACATCCTTTTCTCTTTTAGGAAAGGTACACTTCGAAGTTGGAGAGGGCTGAATCTGTAATAGAACAGCTGCAGAATGAAGTTCGACAATACAAGAGTTCACTGGTGGAAGTTGACACAATACTGAAAAATCTGCAAATAGAGTCAAACCGAAAAGGGAAGCCAGAGCGCGGTGAAGCAGATAACTCAGGAGATGAGAGCAGCCAGGTAGGCTGAAGGATAACGTTGCATATATGCTCTCTTAAACATCTTATCTCATTGCATAGTAATTCACATTGAAGCCCTTTCCATAGGGGGATCACCATGGTTATAGGGATACTATGTATTCAGGAAAGCCAATTAAGGTTGTCCTAAGGTTTTTTTGGCTCAATGTCCAGAGTCAGCCAGAAAATAAACATTTGCTCAATTTTACAGTTAATACAGTAGCGTAATTCAAGATTGTATCATCTGTATTTGTTTCTTGGGATGCAGTTTAGTATAATTATACGGAGAAAATCATCTGCATGTGTGCCTCTGTTAGAAGGCTTTGCTGTTTTACTTTTCAGATATGCTGAGTAAAAGACCATGTACTACTGCAGGGGATGAATTTCGCAATTTTAGCCACTTGCGAAAAATCGCGAGTGCCTAAAAAATCTACGTGCTAAAATGAATTCTAACGTGCAATTTTTTTGTACAACATAAACTACTTTTTGAATATTATGGCATTATGACATGTATGAAAGTGTAAACAGCGTATGGTAAATAACGGCGAATTGAAACTTGTTTAGGCAATTTGACCGACCAGTTTGACCATTAATCATGAAATATATTCTTTCCGTGATCGACAGTGATAATGTATGCGGTGTATACTATAAATTTCCACTCGCAGAAAATAGCAAGTGCTTATATTTTCTACTAGCAATTTCTCAATATCGACACGCATTTTGCGAGTTAGCAATAGGGAAATTCGAGCCCTGCAGTAGTACTTCTACTACTACTATTCATGTTACTTTAATATTTGATATTGCATATCCCCTACTCCCTTTACTGTGTACTAAACTCTACCACATGTTGTCACGAGCTCTCTTAGTAGAAAGTAACCCTATCAGGGATTTCAAGTATTTTCTCATGCAACTAGTTCAAAAAGCATAGTGCATACATGTCAACTAACAAAGTCAAACTGCACACCTGCTATTCAAATTTTACAATGTAGGCCTATCACTATAATAATCTTGGCAACATGAAGCTGACATTGTGGCCCTCCCCCAAACTAATATAATAGTACTGCTTATATTTTAAAAGTAGGATTTAAAAAAAAATCAAACAAATAATACGGTTCTCCTCGCGAAAATACAAGGTGTTTTTACTGTGCTTTATACCCCTCGTTCATTTACACGAATGACTAATATTTTAATGTGCACGTTGCAGCAACTATGTAATATTATGTTGCTGGAAAGATAGAGAAAAGTGATCATCATTTCAGTAGATCTGCCGGTCTTCATTTCTAGTATCATAATTTATTTTTGTGCCACACTGCCCATGCTGATAATTGTTTGAAGCGTAACTCACTGAAAATATAAGTTCCAGTTTCTTTGTAATTGCAGGGTGAAAAAAGGATAACCACTTGTGAGGAATGTAGAGGGGAAGATAACCTGGTGCTGGGCAGAGCGAGGGAGATAACCAATATCATTAGATCCAGCACTGAGAGGTTCCAAGAAGTAATCACAGTAAATTACTATATAATATTTGCTTCAAGCACAAGTAATTAAGCAAAGAAACTAATGCAATTGGTAAAAATTAGTGCATGTGCTGAAGAAATTCTTGGACATATACCTGTGTAGTTTAATTGTTAACTTCTATGTCTACTATAATGGTGATATACTCTCCTACGATACCTATTTTATGAAGGCATTGGCAATTACCAAAAAGTTGCTCCAAGTAGCACAAGAGAATAACGCCAGCAAACGTGATGCAATACTGATGCTGTGCCTTTGCATGTAGTCCGAGTTGACTCGAGTACGTGCGCCAACACATGCTGCATGCAAGCAAATCGCCCTCTCATCGATGTGCGAATAAATCGATCTGCCTGAGCAAGATGGTCACTCCCACTTTGGATATTAGCAAGAGTAGATAATAACACAATTGACACACAATAACACAATAAACAATTGTTATTATCTACTCTTGATATTAGTGATGTTATACGTCAGCCATGCTAGATCGGTGTATAAGCGTTTTTACACGTGCACGCCAAATTGTCATCCTTGCAGCACTTCGTTGCCACGCAGGGTTGTTACAATGCTCCTATCTCGACTGTGATTGACCAGATGCACCTGTCAATCATCCAGGAGGAGGGGTCAGTTCTCTGAACATATTCAGCGAGCAGACCCGTGATAAATCTTCTCCAAACAGGAGGTCGGCTTCCTGCGCTCGCAGCTGCAGGACGAGATCACGAGGAACCGGAGCCTGCAGACGGAAGTCGGCAAACTGCGCGGCGTTGTGAAGACCGGCTACGCGGCCCTGCAAGAGGAGCAGCTCCGAGTGTCCGACGTAGCACAGCAGCTGCAGCAGCTGCGCCACCTAGCGGACAACAGTTCGAAAGAGGTCGACAAGGTACATCTGCAATAGGGAAGTGTGCATGAGTATATCGAATCCGAATCGCAACAATCACGAGAGTAGCAAAAATTGCAGTGCATAATATGGTCAAGTGCTCGTTTTCTGTACGTGTATGGTACTTTATTTTAACGCATATATAATTTATTTCATATTTTTTTGCATTGACTGTAGTTATAGTCTCTCAATTTCGATTAGAGAGTAGCCATGTTGCTTTGACTACTTAGGCTTGTTCTGTTCAACATTTTGAAAAGATTATGTTTTCTGACTTTATGCAGCTAAAGAAAAAACTAGCAGAGAAAGAGAAGCAGTTGCAGTTGGAGGTTGCTGCTAATCACCAACTCAGTGCACAGTTGGTGAGTTAATTACACTTAAAACATATCTCAGTAATTATTTATGTCGTTGAACGTACTATACTAGCTGCATGGTATCTAACTGTCATATGCAATACTTAGCAATGTTTAAAAATTCAGTGGGGATGCTGCAGTGGGTTGGACTTATTCTGTTCATTCATGGAAATGGCTCGGCATGTCAAACCAGAATAGGAGGTTTTATGGTTTAGGATTTCTCGTATATTGGATATTCTCAATATATTGAGACAGCTGTTCTATACGTAATGGTGATCATATTTAATTTTAAAATGTTTACCTCAAAAAAGTATTCAAATGGTAAGTCAAATAGGTATAGTGTAGCTATGATAAAATTAATCATCTGTGAATTGTGTCTTTCTCTGTTCATTTGCAGGAGAAGAGTGGGGCCATGACAAAGGTAATTAACTGGCATGGCCATTAAAATATTGTTATTGTGTTGTAATAATAGACTATCCTCGTCATCACGAAAGTGAGCATTTTAGAATGTTTTTAATAGATAAGCACCTTTTTGGCTTCAATTATCACTTTTCAATATCAACTATTCAATTTAGAAACTTTAATATTAAATTGCATTGGATTTTAACCTTATATATTTTCAATTGCTTGTCATGCCCCTTTCATTGAGCATTCCTACACCACCCCTAACCAGGTGCACCCTCTTGACACAATTGCCTGGATTCACCCCTAGTTGATGTATCAGACTAATTAATATGTAAGTTAACAGCTACAATGATTACATTCTGAACTAGTATGCTGTATTTTTTAATAGGGGAAAAGAAAGTCTGGACGAAGTTTTCCGAGAAACCTCTTCTGTATGTCAGACCATACAGTGCCATGAGATGGAGCCACCAGAATACGTTACTATAGGCTTTCATCCATGTCACGTGCAGCAGAAGCCAGTACAGATCGATGCTATTCTTGCATGCTTCTTCTTACACTTCACACGCATGCACACATACACGCGCACGCACACAGGTGCATACGCATCAAGAGTACATAATAGAGATCTCTATTATGTACTCTTGATACGCATAAATGTAGTGCGTTTTGCTGGCTTATACAAATCACCCCCGACTAGTATATGTATATATGGAATTGTAATCGGGTAGGAATAGGCTCTAGTATATTGTATTTACATAAGTACCATCTGGCATGGTTACAAAAATATTTGATTCTATAAGTCGTGGTTCCCATTAATTATTCATAGCAGGAAATGGTTAGATTCTATAATGAGGCACTGCTGTAATAAAGAATTATCTATACTATTTATGTGGTAGCAATTGAGATAAACCAGTGTAAAGTTTGTGCGCGTTTCGTCTGCATTGCATTTTTCAATGTTTTGTTTGCAATGTGCATTTCGTGCGATTGCATATATATATACATATATATATATATGAAACAATCTATTGCTTAACTTTAGTAAAGTTTACATAAGAACTTCCATGGTGTGCCAAATATATATTAAGCAAGGTAAAGGTAATGGGTACCTTTACATATGTGAATTGTCAGGAAGATATTTACAATACACGCTGTTTTAAAACTATGCCAGTAGCTCTCATGGCTATATGTGTGAATTGTGACACAATCTCTAGACCGTCGTACAGTTCGTATAGAGTTAGTGGAAATGCACTTCGACCTCTGTTAGCTTTTTCAGCTAATCATTGGATGTTACTATTGCCTCTCAGACAGCAACCAGCGGCGTTTGGTGAATGTAGCTAGCTGGTGCTCAAACAGGATAGGAAGGATAGGAAGATTTTACTAGGTTCTAGTTTACCTAAGGACAGAGTAGGTGTCTTGATGCGTGCGTCGTTGATATACTTGACGCTTATATGTATATATATATATGCATATTGGGTGTAACAGTCTAGACTTGTGGTTTAAATCTAGACTGTGGCTTGATTTCAGCTGCTTTTATCAGGGAGAGTGACATCTGTTAGGTATATCGGTTAGTGATATCTGTTAGGTAAACGTCACGTCTAATATATAAACGGTCCGATTGCACGCGAAAGCAGTGTATCAGAGAGGATATCTCGTGAATTTTGAAATGTGAATTTATCTTCTGCTGACCTAAGAAACTAATTCTGTCACAAAATCAACCCGAGTTGTGATCTAAATTGGCATGAAAGACATAGGCATATGTCGTACATCCTTCATAGATGATAATGATATTAACATCAAAGACGCGTTATCTATTGGTATTAGAAGTTTTCGTGCCATCGTTACTGTTATGTCCTAGGAATATTTATTATTATGAATATTATATTACATTATTAAATATTATAATGTTTATATGGTTGCTATCTTAGGTTTCGTTGTGCAGTTGCAGAGGTAGCGTACGTAGCTATATCTGTACTCGGTTCAACCATCCCCATATATTACACATGTTATGATATAGCACATTTGTTAAATATTATGTGTGCGTGCGTGCGTGCGTGCGTGCGTGCGCTTGCGTGTGTGTCTACTATTCTAATACCGATGAGGGCGTATTCAATGGAGAAGCACATTCAAATCGTGTAACTAGCTAGAGTTGGGCGTGATGTCATTGTAAGAAGCCTTACGTCAACTACGATTTTACTGTCGCAATTACAATACTAACAGTAATATAATTCCGACACCGCCTTTTGCAGGCATTACCTAGACTGAGAATTACTGAGACTTTACTAGAGTTCGTTGAAAATAAATTTGAGACCTACATGGCAATCAGAAGATGTCTGCCTAAGCCAGAAGATTACCTGCAGTTCTATATTATGCATGCAATTTATTCTAGATGTGATCAGGAGTGTATCAAAACACGTGTATTTTGATACACTCCTGATGTGATAACAAGCTTCTCTAGATGTGAATGTGATAACGAACGCCGATAGATGTGATAATATTTTTATCGTACTTGTTGTTAATTTCTTTTCCCCGCATCGCAATCCAATATTATATTATTGTTATGGAACCTATACCCAATGGTTTATGTTTATGGTTTGTTGAAAATAAATAAGCGTTTAAATTAAACTTGTACCCGTTGTTTTTGTAGTTATGCACTTCCTATGTATATATTTGATAAAACGTCATAATGGTATAGTTATGTCTGTGCGCGTGCAGGCGTGTATGCTTTCTCTAATTACTGTACGTTTTCACTATAGCGTAACCGTTCCTTTTGGTACGTTTTTCTGCGCGTGTCTCGTCCGTAACTTACGGCGCCAAGCTAATTGTTTTCGAATTTGCCCGACAGTCGCGCCAACCGTCCTCTTCTCAGGCGATAACCTATTAAATGCGACAGGGCTGTAAATTGTAAAGCCCCTTTGGTGTACTATAGTTTGATATAAATTAGTAAATTAATAAGCCTCTAGTCTGTCACGTATTCTGTACCTGGATACTCTGTAAGTGAGTCATTCCGATGGTGATAGATTCATCCTTTTCATACTTTTACTAATTACCCAGCCGCCAATTACTACAATTATAGATCGCAGCATGTTTTTGTCGATAGGTGGCGTCTCTTTCTTTCTTACAGTTTACAGACCGCTCTCTCTCTCTCTCTCTCTCTCTCTCTCTCTCTCTCTCTCTCTCTCTCGCTCTTTTTCTCTCGCTTTCTCTCTCTCACTCTATTTAACCCTTACTTTGTGTACGTGTGCTTGTGTACGTGCATGTGGTTGTGTGTGTTTGTACGTTCTTGCGTGTACGTGCGTGTATTCGCGCGCGCGTGTGCGTGCGTGCGTGCATTCGCAAGCGCGTGTGCGTGCGTGCGTGCATTCGCAAGCGCGTGTGCGTGCGTGCGTGTACGTGCGTGTAGTATAGTGGTTGGCTAAACGCCCATCTGTACCACATGCAGGCACCTCGGCAGTCTCAATAATAGAGTAAATTTGGCGAATTGTATTTACTACCAGTCCTTATGTATATGTGGCCTATATCAAATTATGTATATAATTGCAGTTTAAATTTTTTTTAATTCTATTTTAATTTGCCGTACGCACGCCGTTATTCCCATCTAATAATAGATGTAAGAATAATCTGGAGAAAATGTTAAAATGAAAAAAATCGGTAGTTTGTGCAGTGCCGCGCGTGCGGTAAAATTGTATATTGAATACAGGAGTATTTTAATGGCATTTACGTAGAAATATTAGACAATAGATATCGTATATCGTATAATTTGGTAGTAAATACAATTCGTCTTTATTTACTATCGTTTTATTATTGAGACGGCCCGAGTCCTGCGTGCGTTGCCCTAACTCTGTGTATGGCCACCCACGCGTGTTTCTGTCTGTGTTCGACTACTCACATCAATCTCTTCTTCTTCCATCTATCTGCCAACCCTTTCACATTTCTGCGTAGGGAGCATCACTGTCTCACTGTATAGCTTGATCAGATGCGCACATTCTGTAGCTTCTTTCTAGCCCCCGTATTATCTATTCTATCTACCAATCACTCGTGGCGGAGTCGCTAACAATCGCAGCCTGTAAGAGCAGCATAAGAACGGCGGCGGCGCTATAGATCGATGCTTGGCTGTGCAAAGTGGGAAAGAGAGCCGACAACCCCTCTTCCCCACGACTCGCGCAATGGGCGCACTCGTCTATTGACGAGCTGCTGCAGGCAAGCTGTAATCTTTCCTCACCACAGTGTGGAAGTGAGACTAGCGCGGTGACCAGAGTGGAGATGGTCGCACGACCCGAACAACCTGCTGCGTGAAGCTCAGAGCCGGCGTGAGCCGCGGTGTCAAATGCGAGACAGATCAAGAACGGCCGACAGATAGCAGAAGAGGCGCCGACAGAGAGGCAGGGAAATAAGCTAGGGAGACGCCACGTACAGAGAGAGAGAGAAAGCGTGTTTGTATGAAGCAGGAGCGATCGAGCGCGCTCGAGAGAGCTCGAGCGAAAGATGAAAAGTGAGTAATAGAGAAAAGGGAGAACACAGAGAGCGAAAGAGAGAGGTATAAAACAGTGTGATCGAGAAAGCGAGTGAGTGATAGGGAGTGAGAGAGAGAGAGAGAGAGAAAGAGAGAGCAGAGAGAGAGAGAGAGAGAGAGAGAGAAGATGGTAGACAGAGAAGGGGTAGAAGAAAGAGAGGGAGTAGAGAGAGAGAGAGAGAGAGAGAGAGAGAGAGAGAGAGAAAGAGAGAGAGAGAGAGAGGAGAGAGAAAGAGAGAGAAGAGAGAGAGAGAGAGAGAGAGAGAGCGCGCGTAGAGAGAGAGGAGAGAGAGAGAGAGAAAGACGAGAGAGAGAGAGAGAGAGAGAGAGAGAGAGAGAGAGAGAGAGAAAGAGAGAGAAGTGAGAGCTGGCATAAGACAGTGAGAGCGAGAAAGCGAATCGAACTGAGCGATGGATTCGTGTGTGTGTGGCGTGCGGTGCGTGCGGTGCGGTGCGTGCGTGTGCGTGCGTGGCGTGGTGCGCCAGATGCGTGCGTGGCGTGTGTGTAGATAGACAGAAACGAGGACGAGCAGAAGACAGGCAGACAGGCAGCCAGCGAGACAGACAGGCAGCCAGACGAGACAGCAGACCTAAGACAGATAGAAACGAGTGACATAGAGAGAATCTGATCAGGAGTACGAAGAAGAGAGAGTAACGAAGAAGAAGAGAGAGAGACAGAGCGAGAGAGAGTGAGAGAGAGAGACAGAGCGAGAGAGAGAGAGAGAGAGAGAGACAGAGCGCGCGCGAGAGAGAGAGAGAGAGAGAGAGAGGAGATTAAATAAAGGGATAAAAGATTACCTAACATAAAAGGAAATGTGCGTTTTAGTTCTCGCGACATAAGTATGAGTGGGCGTGCGGTGCGTTGACGCTAAGTGACAGGGCGGCGGCCAACACTCTCATCTCTCTGACCAGAATCGTGTCGGGGTTGTGTTTTTATCACATGATGAAGGCGGGCGGGAAGCCACTGCGTTTCGCTCTGTATAACGCGGCTTCCGATTAGCGCTCGTCGCGGGCGGATGGCGTCCTCTCTGTCGGAGAAGGTCACCTTGCAAATTTCTGTTTTCATTTTTGTTAGGCGATAGGTAGGTTGCGTCGCGAGTTCGTCAACTGTCGGCGCTGTTGCTATACCCCGACCTCACGTCGCGTTACAGTAATGGGTTAGCGCGAATCGACAGCGACTGTAGAAACCACTAGGCGGAACGGACGGGCCTAGCTGCCCGGCGAGCCATTTATCATGCTTGGGTTAGGCAGGAACCTGGCGGAGCAGGTGGATCTACCAGCGAGGGTCAGTGCTGAGCCGGTGTGGCCTATCTCGGAAGTGATTCTCTCGTCTACGCGTTATGCTTTCGGATGTCGCCGCACAAAGGTCATTTAAATCAGGTCGTCCTTATATACGTACTCTGCGCGCTGTATTTTAAATAGTTTTTCGGCAGAGTGGCCTTTTCTAGTTATACGAATCGTTTATTAAACTAGTGATGAATATTTGCATAGTATTTTTCGTTAGTGTATACTCGCTGTATATTAATGCTAATGAAGATGGTAAATTAACCACGGACGAGAATCATACATGTGTTTATCATAAGTATCTCGTTATTAAAATTATTCGCTCTAGATAGCTGCTCCTAACGACGATAATCACTTTCCCGCTCTGGCAATTATGATCCGTCGCGTTAAGTTTATAGTCTATACGTGTGTTATTACACTCAGGTTGACGTGTTTGTCGCACACAAATGCGCAGCGAAGGCCGAAGCCTATAGTCGGAAAAGAGGCAACATTAATAAATATTGAAGTAATCATCAGGAATAGAAGGATAACTACGCGCTACCTTCGTTAATTAATTAACAGTATACGTGCGGTATCGGCGCTTTGCGTGGAGAGCTGAGGCCTATTCATCGGTAGTGTGCTTTATTATACTGGCCTGCCTAGTTATTTTTTTTATACTTAATGCAGAGTATATATATACCAACTTTATTGATATTGACCATGTAAACGTAAATGTAGGAAGTTAGAAGGTGCTTCTTTGCTATATTTATCAGCCAGCACCATCACTCCAGATTCATCAGCAGCAACAGCACTCATCGTCGTCAATGTCCGTCGTCATTGGTTGTCATTTTTGTCAATATCTTGGTCAACACTTGAGACTTATAATGGACTAATACAGTGTTTTAGAATGCGGTGAGATGCGTAAAATCAGGGGTTATGGAGCCTAAGACATATATAGAATGCAGGCGATTTTTTTTGGGGTGGTAAGGCCCCCCACGTGACGAATTGCCACCCACGTGACGGTTTTTCGTGCGTGACGGATGCCACCCAGATGAACCGCGAAGTTCTATCAATTAATACCTAACGTTTCTGAAACGGAATTTTTAATAAATTTGCTAATGCGGTATAAGATATGCCCACAAGCCTAATACGCAAATAGGGCAGCGCGACGTAGTTGGGATGGGGTGGGCCGTGACGTAAAACAGGTAATCACCCTCTAATTCACCAATCTTGAACTTGACGTGGTTATTTTTTAACGCATATGGCCGCTTAAGGCGCACTGCACCGCCGCTCAGTGTCTGGTTGCTTGGCTTCCACGCGTTTTCGCTGCCGATTATGCAAACATCAATTATTGCGTCAAAACAATCTAATTTGTAGTGAATTACACGACTTTTATCAGTTTTTATCCCATGAAACGCGCAACAATTGTGGAAGCGGTACACGCAGGTAACATCACAAGTTCCGCCGAAGGCCCGTTTGTTTCTATATCTGCCACATGATGGCAGCTTCTTACAAGTGCAAATGAAATTTCGTGTAACTTCCATAGATTTTTTAACTAATGCAAGCTAGATTCGCGATCTATCTGCCATGCTTTTACTAGATGTCGGCATGCGTGCCTTCCACAGTCCTGGATGCACATTATGCAATCGACCATAATGCTGTCTCTATTTACCGGCTAATTCAATAGTAACACATAAGTGGCGAGATGTTTTTCAAGTTTACGATATAGTAACAAACGAATGCATTAAAACGTCACTGTATCTACATTTCTGTGCTGGCTTTTGGTGTCACTGTCGTGCGACATAAATTATATACATAGCAGTTTTTATTAG